GGATCTCTGATTTTGTTATTTTGTTTTGTTACATTTTCTTTGAGTTTATTTATGGTCCCCAGAGGATTAAGTTTAATGCATTGTTTTGATTAAGTTGTATTGTGTTAACTTAATTTCTGTGGCTGGTGACTTATATTATTTCATTCCTGATTTTTGTGAATTTTGGATTTCTTTATGAATATCGATTTGTGGTATTTTGATTTATTTTGTTACTGTTTTTTTGGCAGTTTATATTTGTGCATTTGGGGTTTTTTTGGGGGGGGTTAATTTGTAATCTTTTGGCTGCCAACCTTACAAGTTTTGTTTATTTAAGGTTTGTTTTTGTTTGTTTTGGTTGTTTTTGTTTATGGTCATTTCTGAGTGCAACCCCATTAATTTTATTTCCCTCTTCCCCCTTTAGTTGCTGAGAGCCAAAGGTGGTATATACTGTATATGTGTGTGTATATAGGATGCAGTATATGCATGGACTTATCAGCGTTTCATAAGCAACCAAAATTACTTTACATATACATTATATTTACTGCCCTTGAACTCTACCAAACCAACTAGCCGACCAAAAATGTGGAAAGATTAAATGAATGAATGAAAATTAAAGTAAAGAAGTTGCATATAAGGAGCCATTTTACTTTCACTGTAACAGTGCTGGTATGCTGAACAAGATCAGAATGAAGAGTACATATTTCACACAGAATATGAATCTGCACACTGCCTTTGAATCGTCCCCCTCTTGAAGTCTAATCTTTTAATCCTCTCTCTTTCTACAAATCTTTACTGTATTCTTTCCATATTTTGCCCACTTGTAAGCGAAATAGTTAAAGAACCTCCATTAATCACGCAATTTAAATGTGAAAAGTCTTATTGACTGACCGTCACCTGTGTGTATACGGAGAAGGAGAGGGGCGGAGGAAGCGGAGCTGTGTAAACATCCTGTCCAACATACTATCATGCGTTTACATAACTTATTAGACGGATATATATAGAGAAAGGTGACGTTTAGAGAGCAAGCCCAAATAAGCAACTTCACTTCAACAAGCCCAAAGTCATGGCTAATAAGCGGACCTGAAAACCCTGCCCTATGCGTAGCGCTCTATGATCTCTGATCCAGCAGCACATCATCCAAATGAAAACAAGTGGTTCACGCTTGCATGCACACTACACAGTTGTTTTGCATGCAGCATTGTCATCTGCTCATTTCATTTTTGTTAGTGGAATTATTAACCAGACTCTTCCACGTCCATGCCAAACCCCCCACCCCGGATCTACACGATTCCCAACAGTCACCCAAATTGACATGAAAAAAGCGAGAGTCTCTGAAAAGCGAGCTGTTTGCATCCCTGATGTTCATGATGAATCATCTTTGCATACTAAAGTTTGTTTTGGAGTTCCACAAGGTTCTGTGCTCAGACCAATTCTATTGACTTTATATATGCTTCCCTTAGGTAACATCATTAGAAATCACTCTGTAAACTTCCCTGTGCTATGCAGATGATACACAATTATATCTATCAATAAAGCCAAAGGAAACGGATCAATTAACTAAACTTCAAACATGCCTTAAAGACATAAAAACCTGAATGAGTTCCAATTTCCTTATGTTAAATTCAGACAAAACTGAAGTTATTGTTCTTGGCCCAAACACCTAAGAAACTCTCTATCTGAAGATATAGTGTCTCTGGATGGCATTGCTCTGGCCTCTCGCACGACTTTAAGAAACCTCAGGGTAATATTTGATCAAGATTTGTCTTTTAACTGTCATATAAAACTTCACGGATTGCGTTCTTTCATCTGTGTAATATTGCAAAAATTAGGCCTACCCTGTCCCCAAAACATGCAGAAAAATTGGTTCACACATTTGTTACCTCTAGGCTGGATTACTGCAATGCCCTGTTATCAGGGTGCTCTAATAATTCTTCCAGAACTCAGCGGCACCTTTACTGACAGGAACTAAGAAAAGAGATCATATTTTACCTGTTTTCATTTCTCTGCACTGGCTCCATGTAAAATCCAATATTGAATTTAAAAGCCTCTTAACTAACAAAGCTCTAAATGGTCAGGATCTGAAATATCTCAGAGAGCTCATATCGCCATATTATCCCACCAGATCATTGCACTCTGAGAATGCAGGGTTACTTGTGTGTCCTACAGTCTCCAAAAGTAGAACAGGAGCCAGAGCCTTCAGCTATCAGGCTCCTTTTCTGTGGAACCATCTTCCTGTTTCAGGTAGACACCGTCTCCTCATTTAAGACTGGACTTAAAGGGAAATTTCGGTTTATTTCAACCTGTCTCTTATCGTCCTAAATAGGTCGTTTTAACAGGTCTGACATAAGTGAACGGGTATACTTCAAGCACAAAGTTAGTCCACTAAACAAGCTTTTTTTCCACAAAGACCGCCTCATATCGTTAGGATAAATGTCAGAGAACATATAGAAAACGACATGTAAACGTGTTGTCTTACCTTACCGGTGTGGTGCCATGTTTGTTTACTATTTAGCTCTGCTTTCCAAAGCATGGCCGAAATATCGCAAGAACAAGCAGCGATCTCATACCGTGCCTGAAATCTCGCGAGAACAAGCAGCAACAGCTGGAAGGCAGAACCGGACAGTAGCCTGAAAAGTTCATTCATTTATTTTATGAAAGATTTATAGAATAATGGCTGACTTTTTGCCAGACTTCAACTTTGTGGAGGAGGAATTCGATTTTGAATAACGGAGGAGGAGAGAGAGAGAGAGAGGCGCAACAGGTAGAGGACGAGAGAGGAGGAATGGCTGCTGCAAGGCTGCGTAGCTCTGGAGATTGGTGGTGTACCTGTGAATGCTGTGCCCCAGTGCCCACAGAAGAGGAATGCCTCTGTTGCAAGGAATGGGACCGGTTGCAGCCTTATTTTCAAGGTCTGGATGTGACCGAGGACGAGACACCTCCACCTGGAGTAGTATCCAGCTGGGCTTTATCTAGAGCTCGCGAGATTTCAGGCACGGTATGAGATCGCTGCTTGTTCTCACAATATTTCAGCCGTGCTTTGGAAAGCAGAGCTAAATGGTAAACAAACATGGCACCACACCGGTAAGGTAAGACAACACGTTTACATGTCGTTTTCTATATGTTCTCTGACATTTATCCTAACGATATGAGGCGGTCTTTGTGGAAAAAAAGCTTGTTTAGTGGACTAACTTTGCACTTGAAGTATGCCCGCTCACTTACGTTTCAATGGGTCTGACGCTACTATGCGCCCCGGCTCTATCTAGGCTAACGGCTAACATGCTAACTATTATTTTTATGTCACTAGTCACTTGAAACAAATTTAGGACGATAGGAGACAGGTTGAAATAAACCGAAATTTCCCTTTAAGACTTTCCTTTTTGATAAAGCTTATAGTTAGGGCTGGCTCAGGCTTGCCTTTGACCAGTCACTAATTGGGCTGACAAAGGCCTAGTCTGCTGGGGGACCTCTCTCTATCCTCAGTTTCTGAAAAGTTGGTTCTTCTGCATTTGCTAAGGCCTATTTTTGCATATCCCTAACTCGGCTTCTAACTGTAATATTTCACAATAAATTATATTATTAGCACCTCACAGGCCTTCACTGTGATACATTACCACATTCAGAATTTTATTGTGACATCCATGCAGGTAAATATAGTAATTTTACAGAAGTACACTGCTAAATCACTTCTATGGGAGCATACTGCTAAATTACAGTAATCCAATGTACATAAACTGTAAAGTTACAGTTTATTATGTAATATAGTGAATAACAGGAACATACTGTTATATGACAGTAAAGTAATGGGCTTTAACTGTGAGTTTACAGTTAAAGATGGTAATTTTACAGGAGCATACTGCTAAATCACAGGAATATGCAGGCATAACTACTGTGAGATCACAGTATACAGCTGTCATTTTACAATAATTTACTGTAAAAATGATACAGTAACTTACTCTGAAAGTAATGCAACTAGGAGCCAGTAATGTACTGTAAATGTACAGTAGAATATTTTACAGTGTAAAGTTTGAGAATGGGGAGCAACAAAGAGCTGAGGCAGAGACACAGAGACACTCACTTAACATACACAGTACACAGAGAGAGAGAGAGAGAGAGAGAGAGAGAGAGAACAAAAATCTCATCATAAGGAAAGGCCAGGTGATGCAAATTTCAAAGCTTTCTGACTTGTCCCAACAATAAGCAGCCATGGGCTTCTCTTAACAGCTGCCTAGCACTCTGAAAACTAAAATAATTGATACCCATAAGGCAGGAGAAGGCTATAATAAGATAGCAAAGTGTTTTCAGGTAGCTGTTTCCTCAGTTTGTAATGTAGTTAAGAAATGGCAGAGGTCAAGTTGAGGTCTGGAAGACCAAAAAAAACATGTAGAGAGAGCTGCCCGCAGGATTGTTAGAAAGGCAAGTCAAAACCCCTGTTTGCCTGCAAAAGACCTGCAGGAAGATTTAGCAGACTTTGCAGCATCACCTGTACAAATATGACTGTCATGAAAGAGTCATTGGAAGAAAACCTTTACTCTGTCCTAGGGCTGGGCGATATGGCCTAAAAAAAAAAATCTCTGATTTTTTCACAAAATATCCGATTCACGATTTAAATCAATTTTTTTCCCCTCCTAGTTAAAAAAAAAATAAAAAATTGCGGCCTGGTAGCACATACCTGGGGTCCAAAACTTTCAGCATGTGAATAAACCCCAGCTTTTCCACGGTAGCCTATATATGGGCACCATATCTCTTGCAATATACATTGCGACTGCATCTGTGATCGCTCTCCACCGGACCCATTTCTTATCATACGGCAGTGTTTCCCCTACCATTATATTGGATCACAACAGAAGTCATTTAAGGTTACCTTTCCTATAGAACAGGTCTATACCTTGTCCTTTTATTAAACAAACTAAATAGCCTTATGTTACAGGCTGAGCCTGATGTGTGTGGCTTGTGTGTGTGTGTGGTGTGGAGCTGTGTATGTGTGTAGTTGATGTAGGAGGTATGAGACGTTATTGCGCCGGGTGTGGTGTGTGACGTCAGACGGATGCGCCCCAGGAAGAAAGTGAGGCATGCCGCATGTGCTATGTTGTTTGCATCGAGCAGCCACAGTGAAGAAGCCTACGCAGTTCTGCATGCTGTTTTTGAGTTATTTCCCTCTATGTAAAAGTCAGACACTGATGAGAGAGGCTGCGCATCATCCCTGCAGTACTGAAAATAAAGTGTCGTTCTTCAACGCAGATGAAGTCCCGTTGTTTATGTGTTGTTGCCACAACGAGCTAACACAAGCTAAAGGAGCTAATGGTCTTCGGAGGTCCCTTTGCTATGGTTCGGGGGTCTGGCAGCTTGGCGTTGATAACACTTATTCATCTTATTTACACAACGGCATGTCATTTATGTCCCTACACGGTGCGCATCTAAAATCCTCCTCTGCTCTCTGTGTCGCACGGCGGAGTTCGGCCCTGATGCGCACACACACACACATACACAGGTGAGCACGCACACACAGACACAGACACAGGTGTGCACACAAAAGCGCTGAAGAACTCGTTCCCTTTCTTGAGAAGGAGTTCTTCCCCGCTCGCTGCCATGTTGTTTGTATCAAGCGCGCGGGAGGGAGGGGTGAGCCCACTCTGAACTACCGGAGCCCAGCGTGGAGCGGTGGTGGTGGATTTTAAATAGAAACTCGATTTTCATTAAAACAAATCGGCCTAAACTGCAAATTCGAATTAACCGATAAAATCGATTTATCGCCCAGCCCTACTCTGTCCACAAGTTCTGTGGACAGATGAAGTTAAAATAGAACTTTTTGGACAAAAAAGGGTGCAGAATTTCATGAAAAGAGTAATGGATAATCAATTATTACTAATAAAAATGTTGAGATTTTTATAAGATTTGAACTGACAAAACATCAGAATTGGGGGGGGGGGGGTATTTGCTAACATACTGTGCACAAACTCCAGTGCACTGCACAGGAGATGCATGAAACTGGGAGAGAGAGAGAGACAGAGAGAGAGGCTGCAAGGTGACGTGGTTGGCAGTATTTGCTTCTACCTCCTCAGCAGTGGGAGAGTTGTGCGTAACATGCAGCGGAGAGCAGTGAGCATCATCTGTGCAATGCATTGTCATGGACCGCTGTGCATACTCAAAGGTGGAGATGCACTGGGGGGCGCAGTCCGTTCTGCCAAACCTGTTGCATGCGAGACATGGAGCTGACAACAGACTCTTGAAATAAATGAAGGAAGAGAAAAAGAAGTGGTGCAAGGAAACATGTCAGCCCTAAGCTCATAATAAATGTGTTAATCTAAAAAAAATTACGGTGCATTTGGGTTTTTAATCAGGTTTAGTTCCCAAACTGCTGCCATGGTTTGGGCTCAGGTTGGGGTTGGGCCTTCAAAGCTCTACTATAGATGTATAGGACCAGGATGGACACCATTCTAGTGTGTCATGTCCTTCACCACAAACAAAATTCCCATTCACTTCCACTGTGTTGGGGTGGAGGCAGACATCTGAGAGAGATTCCAAAACCCTGATAAGTAAAACCCATGCTATCTGCAGAAATATACAACTTGAGTCAATATAGAGGGTTTTTTAATAATCACTATTAAAAACAACAAAAGAAAAAACAAAAGAAAACCGACCAACCAACCAGCCAACCAAACAAACAAACAAAGCAGGAACAAAACAAAGAAAAAACATGGAGAGACTGGCCATTATCAGACCAAGAATATTTTCTTCGTGATGCAGAAATGGGTTGACAGTGCTCTCTTACCTAGCACCTCAGCAGTGGCCATGATCTCGCAGGTATACATGGCAGCCATGAGTCTCTGGGGCTGAGCCTGGAAGGCATGACGGCAGGCCTCCTTCATGGCAGCAATCAGCTGGCCGGAGACCGGCCCGTAGCAGTCTGCAGCTGCAGCTTCTGGCCTGCGCCAGGCCTGGTTTGGCCCTGCTGCTGTGCCCTCCACCTGGGCAGATGTCTCAATGCATTGTTCCACTTTGCTGTCTGCTAAAGCCTCATGGGATGTGGAGTCCTCCTCCATAGAGTCCTGATATTGTGGCGGGGCTGAAGACTGGACGTCCCACCTCTCCACTGAGAAACATACACCCATTAGGGGCTCCTCACACATGGGCCCTGACAGAGATGCTAGCTGGAAGCCACTGATGATGCTGTTATCCAAGTCTCGAATAACAGCAGCCTGGGCTCCACCTTCGCCAGCTTTGTCTCCCCTGCCCAGACACTGCCACAGGGAGGGCCGCTGGTAACCCTCCACACTGTTCAGCAGAATATTGGGACCATATCTGAAAACGAGAACAGTAACACAATGAATAATGGTTTACAAGGTACTACAGATCATTCTTTGTGTTACTATGAATTCCAGGCATGCAGTACATTCTCATGATTGAGATTTTTTTGGCCACTTGGAGACAGCACAACAAGCTGTGAACACACACCTGAGACATATTATCATCATATAAAATTGTTCTAGCAAATGTGTTAGCAAACAGCTTATTTAACTATCCAGCAGAAGCAGAGCAACAATAGAATTCATTTGGATTCATGTTTGTGTAACTTGATGAATTTAAGCCAAATATTCACTCTGCTTTTAGCTCTGTTTAAGTCTCCACCACCACCCACTGGTGACCTCCACTATGTTCACCAGCTACTCTGTGACTGTGTCTGTCTGCTTGTCTGGTTGGTGTCTGGCAGGTAGTGTACAGTGGCTTTATCAGAGCCTTTTCTCTGAGAACAGCTCAGAACTGATGAAGGACACTTGGGCAGGGCACAGAGAAGCTGGTAAGAGAAAGCCACAGTAGCTGTGCTAATCCTACGGACCAATAAGAATTACTTTTTTTTCTCCTTTTATTTATTTATTGTTCTTCTCTCTTTTCCTCATCTTTTTCTTTTTGTGAGGAGCGTTTAGTACTCAGGGAATGGCTGCATTAAAGCCCAACTTGCAGGTTGGAGACCATGGTGAATAAATGTGTAGGAAAATGATGTAGAAACTCGATTAAAACAAAAAACAAAAACATTTACACACTACAGTGACTTTTGGGGTCGTTTTTGTGAGAGAATTTTGCTTCCACATCTAAAAACCCACTAACCGGAAGTGACGTAGCGTAAGGGAGTCCAGCCGAGTTCGATTGAGTGTATCATTAATAAACATGGATCCCAGTACTAGTTTTGAGACTGAAGAGGTTGAAAATGTACATTCATATGCATATGACAGCCCACAGGCTTATAATTACTATGAGCCTGCTAGGCGTCCAAGAGACCAGGAACAGATCAGGGTTAGGAGAAATAACGGCCACAGGAGAGAAATAGAGCTGTGGTGTGAGGAGAACCAGTGGAGAACTGGGCAGGTGTCTTGGTGAGCAACTAGCGTTAGCTAACGACAGATAACGATGTCTAACACTGTGTTCATATCGCAACATTAAGTTTGCCATCACGTATTAGGTTATAACAAAGCTACCAATAGTTCTGCCAGTATTAGAACTAATGCTACTTACCCATAACAGAAACTAATGCGTAAATATCAGCTTGTATCAGACGTATCTTGCTATGCGTGTTATAACTCCGCATTACGGTGTATTGACGTCCGCAGGGGAGAGAGAGAGAGGGAGAGATACGAAGATTTCCTGATAATTTTTTGTATGATAGGTGCTTGTGTGGGAACTGCCAGCCCATGTCCTCAGCTGTGGAGAGTATGTACTGCAGGGAGGTGGTGCCTTCTGGGCTCTGGTGGAGAATCTGACCCCCAGACCAGACATAACATGCCTCACACTGCCCATCAACCCTCACACCACCCGCTCCCGTCTCAAACATGGAGACCACGGAGACACGGAGACCGCCCACCCTCACTTGTCAAGTCAAGTCAACTTTATTTATAAAGCACATTTAAAAAACAACTCACGTTGACCAAAGTGCTTTGTGCGAGGGTGGGCACACGACTGCGTTTTTTATATATATATACAGTACAGGCCAAAAGTTTGGACACACCTTCTCATTCAATGCGTTTTCTTTATTTTCATGACTATTTACATTGTAGATTCTCACTGAAGGCATCAAAACTATGAATGAACACGTGGAGTTATGTACTTAACAAAAAAAGGTGAAATAACTGAAAACATGTTTTATATTCTAGTTTCTTCAAAATAGCCACCCTTTGCTCTGATTACTGCTTTGCACACTCTTGGCATTCTCTCCATGAGCTTCAAGAGGTAGTCACCTGAAATGGTTTTCCAACAGTCTTGAAGGAGTTCCCAGAGGTGTTTAGCACTTGTTGGCCCCTTTGCCTTCACTCTGCGGTCCAGCTCACCCCAAACCATCTCGATTGGGTTCAGGTCCGGTGACTGTGGAGGCCAGGTCATCTGCCGCAGCACTCCATCACTCTCCTTCTTGGTCAAATAGCCCTTACACAGCCTGGAGGTGTGTTTGGGGTCATTGTCCTGTTGAAAAATAAATGATCGTCCAACTAAACGCAAACCGGATGGGATGGCATGTCGCTGCAGGATGCTGTGGTAGCCATGCTGGTTCAGTGTGCCTTCAATTTTGAATAAATCCCCAACAGTGTCACCAGCAAAACACCCCCACACCATCACACCTCCTCCTCCATGCTTCACAGTGGGAACCAGGCATGTGGAATCCATCCGTTCACCTTTTCTGCGTCTCACAAAGACACGGCGGTTGGAACCAAAGATCTCAAATTTGGACTCATCAGACCAAAGCACAGATTTCCACTGGTCTAATGTCCATTCCTTGTGTTTCTTGGCCCAAACAAATCTCTTCTGCTTGTTGCCTCTCCTTAGCAGTGGTTTCCTAGCAGCTATTTGACCATGAAGGCCTGATTGGCGCAGTCTCCTCTTAACAGTTGTTCTAGAGATGGGTCTGCTGCTAGAACTCTGTGTGGCATTCATCTGGTCTCTGATCTGAGCTGCTGTTAACTTGCGATTTCTGAGGCTGGTGACTCGGATGAACTTATCCTCAGAAGCAGAGGTGACTCTTGGTCTTCCTTTCCTGGGTCGGTCCTCATGTGTGCCAGTTTCGTTGTAGCGCTTGATGGTTTTTGCGACTCCACTTGGGGACACATTTAAAGTTTTTGCAATTTTCCGGACTGACTGACCTTCATTTCTTAAAGTAATGATGGCCACTCGTTTTTCTTTAGTTAGCTGATTGGTTCTTGCCATAATATGAATTTTAACAGTTGTCCAATAGGGCTGTCGGCTGTGTATTAACCTGACTTCTGCACAACACAACTGATGGTCCCAACCCCATTGATAAAGCAAGAAATTCCACTAATTAACCCTGATAAGGCACACCTGTGAAGTGGAAACCATTTCAGGTGACTACCTCTTGAAGCTCATGGAGAGAATGCCAAGAGTGTGCAAAGCAGTAATCAGAGCAAAGGGTGGCTATTTTGAAGAAACTAGAATATAAAACATGTTTTCAGTTATTTCACCTTTTTTTGTTAAGTACATAACTCCACATGTGTTCATTCATAGTTTTGATGCCTTCAGTGAGAATCTACAATGTAAATAGTCATGAAAATAAAGAAACGCATGGAATGAGAAGGTGTGTCCAAACTTTTGGCCTGTACTGTATTTTTTTTTAATATGTTTTTTGGGCATTTTTGCCTTTAATGCACAGGAAAGGTAAGTATGAAAGGGGGAGAGAGAGAGAGGGGATGACATGCAGCAAAGGGCCACGAGCCGGATTTGAACCCGGGCTGCTGTGGCAACAGCGTTGTACATGGGGCACCTGCTCCACCACTAAGCCACCGACGCCCCAGGTTATGTATATATTTTTAAAAAAAATTTAACCTGCAAGTTGCACTTTAAGACAGCCAGGCACTTTATGTTTTGTTATTTTTGTGTGTTTTTTCTGTTATGGTTCTGTTACAGGTGTTCAAAAAACAAGAAGGCATTTGGTAATGGCAAGTAATCATTCAAGAACATTTAAAATGTCAAGGCAATGTCTATGTATAATGGCAGACATGGATCTTGGGCAAATAATGACTGAACTGTTAATAGAGTTTAGAGATGCCAAGCAACCTAGTTCAATTTATTTCATGGAATATTAACGAATTTCGAAGTCCAGTTAAAAGGAGGAAAATACTGTCATATCTGAAGAACTGTCAGGCAGATATTGTTTTCATGCAGGAAACTCACAGGACATTGAAGCAGAAAAATTTAAGATTGGTTGGGTAGACCATGTTTTTCATAGTTCCTTTTCAAGTAGGTGCAACGGTGTTATGATTCTAATTAAAAAGAATATACGTTTCGTTTTATTAAAACAAACTAAAGATGCAGAGAGAAGGATTGTGTGTATTGAAGCCATAATAGAGGGATTGCCTATGGTATTATGTAATATTTATGCACCTAATAAGGGAGACACAAATTTCTTTCATGAGGTTAATAAGTTTCTTGGGGACACAGAGGGTCAGATTGTCTTAGCAGGTGATTGCAATGAAGTAATGGACCCTATACTAGATAAAAGTTCATATAGAGCCCCCTCACTGACTTTAGAGATAATCGCACAACACATGTTGTGCAGATAAGATAAGAGATAAGATACACCTTTATTGGTCCCACAATTGAGAAATTCCAGTGTTACAGCAGTCAAGGGGAAAGAGTCAAATTAAAGATTTCAATATTTAAAAACTTAAAAAACTAGGCATGCAGAAAAAAGTACAAAAGATACAAGAAACAGCAATAAATAATAACAATAATAATAATGAGCAGTGGATAAAAAAAAAGTGAGCAATGGATTAAAGTGAACACATTTAGTGCAAGGTGAATATTGAATGTGCAAATAACAACATGGGGGACAGCAATGCTTATAGTGGTGTCCATAAAGTGTCCATAGTGTCCCTAAAGTGTCCATGGTGCAGTTTACTGTGAGCAGTGCTGGTTATGAAGCCTGACAGCTGCAGGCAGGAAGGACCTGCGATAGTGTTCCTTCACACACTTTGGGTGAATCAGTCTATTGCTGAAGGAGCTTTCCAGAGCTTGGCTGTCATCCTCCTTTCTCCCACCAACTGCACAGAGTCCAGAGAGCATCCCAGGACAGAGCTGGCCTTCTTGATCAGCTTGTCCAGTCTCTTCCTATCTGCAGCCTAGACGCTGCTGCCCCAGCAGACCACTCTGTAAATGATGGCTGATGCCACCACAGTGTCAAAGAAGGTCTTCAGGAGCGCCCCCTGCACTCCAAAAGACCTGAGCCACCTCAGCAGGTAGAGTCTGCTTTGGCCTTTCCTGTACAGTGTTGTTACGTGATTAGTCCAGTCCGGTTTATTGTTAAG